ATGCGTTTCTTTGGTAAATTTGTTCAGTTTCATGAGTAGATTCACCTCTTTTTGAAACACTCAGTATATTCAGGGATACAGATAAAGACATGGCTTACTTTTATCCTGAAAGAAAAAGGTTCTTTGAGATGATAAAAGTTACGCGATATAACCGTAATTCAAGCGGACGAAGCCACAGGCAAAAAGCTAGTTAAAGATAAATTAAAGATACAAACCAGACATCTTACTTGAAGAATAATCACTTTCTTGGACAGGAATCACATCAATGACTTTAGACTTAACCTATACAAATAAATAAAATTAGAGCGTCTGTTTGTAATATCAAAACAATAGCTTTTTACATAATGCATAGGAAAGTATATAAGGTACTTATTATTATTAATCATTTATTTTCACTCGGGTCCATATATGTTAGTATTGGTACAATTTTTCTTACATGCTAGGTTAGTAAAAACTGAACGAAATCTATGTAAGACCTAATACAGAGTCTAAACTTCTGTCTCGTCAGTTTATGGAACTCATAAAACATGTAGTTCAATAAACCTTGCAAGCAGGTTAGAATCCACTCTGTTGCTAATCATCTGTAGGACTCTGTTCGGGCTCCCTCGCACGCGTTGTATAAGAGACTCCACTTTTTTCCTCATGATTGCGTAAAAATAATCCGTTTTTGCATCAGCAAACATACTTGATGCACTGCAATAGCGAGGGAGCCCCAACAAGGCCCTGAACATATTATTATATTGAATTCGCAGGACATTGTATGCTCTTTGGGTGAAATTGGTCCAAAGACTGCTCGTGTAAAACGATTGGCAGTAGGCTTTGAATAAAGTAATTTTGACTGGTGCTGTGCAGCGAACAAACCTATGAACCAATAATTATATTACCACGCACAGACAATGCCCTGCGCTTTCTTTCTATATCTAGGTCATCAGACAAATTCTCATTAATGATGTGGCCAAGATATTTAAACTGTTTTACACGAGCTAAGGGTATTCTGTTTAGAGTTAATAATGGTATATTATCTGGTTTTATTTCGACCTTTAATAATCATACACACACTTTTTTTTCATTATACCTCAAGCCATGTTCAACAGCATATCGCTCACATGTGCCTAGTAATTTTCTTAGGCCTCCAATTGAAGGGCTCAGCAGCACCAAGTCGTCAGCATAGCTAAGGTTATTAAGACACACGTCTTCTATGTGACAACCTACACGCATGCTGCAGAGCTCCTCTATCAACTGATTGACATAAATATTAAAGAGCCTAGGCGACGTTAAACCACCTTGCCTCACTCCACACTCTAACCGGTATTCATCGGAATATATATTTCCCATCTTACAAAGTTTGACTGGTTGTTATGCCAAAAGAAAAGAACATTTACGATAGAAGATCCTCGGGGACACCTGCTTCTCTTAGCTTTGCCCACAGTTTATCATAACATACTAGGTCAAAAGCCCTAGACAGATCTAAAAAACAAGCATAAATAGGAGCTTTTCTATCAACATAGTAGCTTACAGTATGCTTTAACGCTAGTATCGCACTCTAAGTTGAGAGTCCCTCTTGTAGAGTTGTGTGACTACTTAGATGTCTGTCAAGGAGCCCATCCAAGACTTTAGAAACTACAGTAGCCAAAGAAATTGGTCTATAATTACTCTTATCACTAAGATCACCAGTAGGATTTTTCGCTAACGGAATAACAATTATTTTGATAAGGTTTGATGGTAAATATGAGTGACGCATACATAAATTAAAAAATATTGCCAAAACTCTACATAAGTGCAAACCAGCATATCGCAAGTGGTCAACACTGAGGCCATCATGTCCAGGAGATTTTCCTCTCTTCATCTTAGAAATAATATTAGCAATGTCTCTACCTGAGAAGGCAAGCGGGCTCAATACTGTGCATCGCTCAGTATTGGGCACCTGCGGCACATTTGGTTTCACTCGAAATTGGTCTTTAAAAATATTTGCAATTTGCCCTGGTTCGCTTATACCTTGAACACTCACTGGAAGGGTGACTTTACTATCAAACCTTTTAGTGCTTTTCCAGAACTTACTGAATGTTTTATTAGAGTGTTGAGTTGCAATAATATCCATCCTAATTTGCTCTTGGTTTTTTGGACAAAACTTAAGCCTTGATTTAAATATTTTGCGGTTTTCACGCATTTTTTTAAAAATAGGTCCGCCCTGTGGCTTACCGTACATGATGTATAATTGATAGTCAAGCTTAGCTTGTCTATGGGCCTGTTTTACATCCTTGTTCCAGCCATACAGATATTTAAATTTATTTGTTTTTCTTTCTAATACACTTTGACTTTGGACGGATGCATTACATAAAATATTTATAATATTACTGTACATATTATCAATTAAACTTCTATGGAACAAATTATTACACATTATATCAGAGCAATTATGCAACTTACTCGGAATGTGAAGATTCTTAAACCTATCATTACAAATATTATAAAACTTTTCTATTTCTTCAGGGTCTCGCACACCCCAAAAAACATTTTTATGTATAATCCTATTAAAGGAAAGTTTCTTTTTTATTACTCCTAAATTACAGGTTATCTCTATAGGAAAATGATCAGACCAATATACGTCATTAAGAACTCTAATGCTTACCAGTGACTGCCAAGCTGCTTTAGTGACAAGGCAGTGGTCCAGCCAGCGTTTACACCCATGGGCTTCACTTATAAATTTATAAGTACTAGATGAAATGCCTAACTTACATATAGCGCAAATCCAATCATTTTCCTTGCAAAAGTCCATCAATTCATCACAAAAAGGAGCGCTTGGATGAGCGTTATAGTCCCCTTACATAAAGACTACGTCTACATTAGAGTCTTGTATTATAGCACTTAGCTCACCTAAACACTGAGTAAATAAGGGCAAGTTCTCAGACTGATCGGTCGGCATATATACACCGATAATAAGTATTTCACGATCTGCACTTATCATTGCTCTTATTGCGACAATACGTTCACTACTACACTTGACCGCTGTCACATTCATAAATATACTTTTTCGCCATAGGATAGCAACCCCGCCATGAGGCCTGCCTCGCAAAATACCAGCCTCCAAATCCACCGCTGACTTTGCCGTATATTCGAAATCCTTATCAATTTCGCCTATTAATGATAGATCGCAAGGCAACAACTAGGTTTCTTGAAGGGCTAATACATCAGCCGTTTTGCATAACGACCTGACACAGTTGATACTCCTTTTTATATTTTTACAGTTATACTCACTACTATCTTGCTATACTCCATGTATTTGGGCAGTATTCTTTTTCATAGACTCATCAGACTTTCCGTCGTATATTTCGCGTCGAATATTACGCGGCCTAAAATTGATAAATTTCCTAAAAGTTATCCCGTCCGGCCATAAACTATCATCAAGGAAAGTATCAATCTTATTCCTAGATACAAATAATTTATAAGAATTATAAGGTCTATCCTTTATCATATTTATTTTTTCAAGATTAATATTCATCTCTTGAGTCTTACTTTGCACATACTTACATATGTCCATTTCAGATACATCTTTACTAACATTAGATATGAACAACGGAATTTTGATTTCTGCAGCCTTAAACTTCGAATCGCTATTTATTAACGCTCTACCTTTTTGACCGACAAAGCGATTTCTATATTTCCTTTTATGTTCTATGAGCATAAAAGAAAATATAGAAATTTCATTCTCTCTTTTTTGTTCATTATCCTTCTCTCTTTTTTGTTTCCAAACACCATCGCTCCGCACCATATCAGCCATTGTCGGACGTATATTAAGTCGCCCGTTTTCCATCGAATCTGTATTGTAATGCGCCGTCGTAGGCTCACACTCGATTATCTGCTGATCCGTAGACTTCTTAAGAACACATTTGCATTGTTAGTGACTACGTCCGCTGCACTCATCGACGCTTGCGAGCCGGCCGAATAAACTGCATTATGATTCACTGCTGCTACGTTGTTGTGCCGATCGACTAGTTGACTTATAACAAAAAAGACATTTTTAAAATTTTTGTGTCTGTCTGTTTGTTCCGGCTAATCTTCAAAACGGCTGGACTGATTTCGACGGGACTTTCACTGGCAGATAGCTGATGTTATAGGGAGTAACTTAGGCTACTTATATTTTACAAAGAGAATTAGGGTTCCGCGCAACATAATTAAAACCCTAAATTACACGCGGGCGAAGTCGCGGCGAACAGCTAGTATATGACTAAAAATAAATATACGCTTGCTTTGTATAGGCGCCATATTTCATCGGAATACGCGTTAAACAATTTGAACACACGCGAACATTACGTATGACCGCGTACCTTACCTTACGGTTGATGTTAGAGAGAGTAAATAAGACGCGAGAACGAGGAATTTATTTTTATTGTATCGATATATTGGTATCAGTATCAATACTGTTTGATATTCTGATTCCAAATATCAATATTATTGTATCCAATATCGATAAATCAATACTTAAATATCAGTACCAATATCTATAATCCGATATCGATACTTGCAAAATATCGGTATTACAGTCCCTGATTGTAAGGCGCCCGGAGCACGTGCCTCACTTGCCCGTCCCTAGTTAAGCCTTTGCTTTTGGTAATCGCATATTTTGCATTTTTTACATTATTTTCTCTGATGAGATGAAAAGAGAAAACGGTGTTTGGGAAATGGAAAATTAATAAACAGTAAATTTTATTAGGTAGTATTTTGTATTGTCAATTTATGTGTAATATTTCACAATATTTGCAGACGTTCTAGGAATAATATACAAACTGTATTTACCAATTACAATGATGACTCGCATATTTATAAAATGTACAATATAATCTCATTCGTTTGAATCTTATTTAAATATATACAAAATATTAGATTTGATAAAAGTGTATACAATATCTATAATTAGACAGTGATATAAATACATAAAAAATAATAATTGCTACGGTATTTACAACTCGGTACTTAATCTATTTAGGCCTTATTTATATCTCTTAATCTTGCTGAGGGGTTACCCTTGGATATAACTGAAACAAACGAAAAAATATTAAATTTACTACAGAAACGAATGGAGCCATTGAAGCTCTTCGCTTACTTCCTGAGCTACCACGGTTCCTTAGATCGCATCAAACCACAGTACACAAAAAAATTCAGGTTTGATACCTGCCGGCACCAATAAAATTATTAATCGTAGTTTTAGGACATATTTTGAGGACATGCGATCCGCCAACACGCACTGACGGCGGACAAATTAATCTAATTAATCCTTCTAAGTAATGAGTGGCAGTTAGGACTTATATAAGCTGTAACTTTATAGAATATTGTACCTCGCCTATGATTTCACCAACATTTAGAAATTGTTCCAAAATGTGTATAAATTATTGCATGATTCGTCTTTCACTTATAACGAAACTTTTACCTTCTAAGAAATAAGAGGATGCCCTGATGATAGGAAGAAAAGAGGTTAAACCACATCCATTATCATACATTACAGCTTATAAAACTCCACTACTGATTCATTGACCTTCCTCATAGATCGCCGCATAAAGTTTTTTTATTAATTTGTGGTGTTATTAGGAAGATCCCGTGTAGTGGCGGTGTAAGAATACCCACTACCCCATATCTTCCCGTGGGTGTCGAAAGAGGGAAACTGAGGCAGAATATTGGCAGCAGCATCTTTCTGATAACAGCAAAAGCAATAAAAACTGCGGTTAACAGCCCGCTCGCCAAGCGTTGCAACTATGGTAATATGCCCACATAAGCAACGACACAAATAAACGGCCCCCAGTCCCCGGTGGCCCAACTATTCCTGTCTACGGTGGCAACCATGGTAAAGGCGGGGCAGGTGCTTCTAAGAATCTCGGGTGCAGGTTCAGTTGCCACCTACAACGACTCAACCTGGCAACATATAACGCACGCACCCTGATGACTGACGAGAAGATTTACTGAAGGTCATATAGGTTTACGCACCAACGTCGGCACATCCCGATGAGGAGGTGACGGAAATGTATGAGTATATCTAACACAAAAACTCTCCGATCACACTCACAATCTCATGGCTGTTAGACGGGAGATGAAGCTGCAGCCTTTAGCAGATTCGACCGCATACAGGCAACTAAAGAGGCAGATCTCCAAATGCATGCGGCGGGCTTTGCGCATCTTCAGTACAGTCATTGTCATTGCTATTGTCATCTCGCACGCAGTCTCGACGACGTCCTGCCTCCCCCGAACAAGCCGGTTTCCAAAAAGGCTTTAGCACCATATACCACATACATACCCTTCGGCAAATTGTACAGAAGACCGAAGAGAACAATCTGCCACTTTGTCTTCCGTATGTGGACTATGAGAAAGCCTTTGATTCCGTTGTAATTTGGGCGGTGCTGCAGTCCCTTCAGCGGTGCCAAGTGACCTGATGTCTTATCCGGTCACTTTGCACCGCTGCAGGAAGTCAATGGATGCAGGTGGGAGGCGTATGTTTAACTGTGGACTTGTGAAGGGCTGTAATGATGATTAAATGCTGCTGGCCATCTCCTGTTTCATTTTACCTCTATCGCATCTTACGACGCCCAAGGGACGATATGGGATAGTGAATGTTCTTACAATGCGTAAAATAACACATGCAAACACATATTTATTTATTTCATAAGATAAAGGTGACAAGCGAGCACACAGTCCGCCTGTACCACCACCACCACTCGCGCTCGTTGTCGTCGCCCTTGCGCGCCGCTTGCACCGGTCTAGCAGTATACATAGAAGTGTGATCCCAGCGGACTCACCCCGAGCAAATTGCGCGGCACGTAGCCCTCGCGCCCCGCGTCGTCGCGGCACCACCACCACTCGCGCTCGTTGTCGTCGCCCTTGCGCACCGCCTGCACCGGTCTAGCAGTATACATAGAAGTGTGATCCCAGCGGACTCACCCCGAGCAAATTGCGCGGCACGTAGCCCTCGCGTCCCGCGTCGTCGCGGCACCACCACCACTCGCGCTCGTTGTCGTCGCCCTTGCGCACCGCCTGCACCGGTCTAGCAGTATACATAGAAGTGTGATCCCAGCGGACTCACCCCGAGCAAATTGCGCGGCACGTAGCCCTCGCGCCCCGCGTCGTCGCGGCACCACCACCACTCGCGCTCGTTGTCGTCGCCCTTGCGCACCGCCTGCACCGGTCTAGCAGTATACATAGAAGTGTGATCCCAGCGGACTCACCCCGAGCAAATTGCGCGGCACGTAGCCCTCGCGTCCCGCGTCGTCGCGGCACCACCACCACTCGCGCTCGTTGTCGTCGCCCTTGCGCACCGCCTGCACCGGTCTAGCAGTATACATAGAAGTGTGATCCCAGCGGACTCACCCCGAGCAAATTGCGCGGCACGTAGCCCTCGCGTCCCGCGTCGTCGCGGCACCACCACCACTCGCGCTCGTTGTCGTCGCCCTTGCGCACCGCCTGCACCGGTCTAGCAGTATACATAGAAGTGTGATCCCAGCGGACTCACCCCGAGCAAATTGCGCGGCACGTAGCCCTCGCGTCCCGCGTCGTCGCGGCACCACCACCACTCGCGCTCGTTGTCGTCGCCCTTGCGCACCGCCTGCACCGGTCTAGCAGTATACATAGAAGTGTGATCCCAGCGGACTCACCCCGAGCAAATTGCGCGGCACGTAGCCCTCGCGTCCCGCGTCGTCGCGGCACCACCACCACTCGCGCTCGTTGTCGTCGCCCTTGCGCACCGCCTGCACCGGTCTAGCAGTATACATAGAAGTGTGATCCCAGCGGACTCACCCCGAGCAAATTGCGCGGCACGTAGCCCTCGCGTCCCGCGTCGTCGCGGCACCACCACCACTCGCGCTCGTTGTCGTCGCCCTTGCGCACCACCTGCAGCCGCGCGCCCGACTCGAACGACAGCTCGTCGCTGCGCGCCGCCGTGTACGAGAAAACCGCGTACACCAGCCCGTTGTTCATTATGCCCAGCTTCTCTTGGACACCTGGGAACGTGCAGGTAAATGATGTTATTTTCTCCATTTCGACAACAGCAGTATGAAATATTGGTAAATCCAATTAAGCATGCCTTCGCATTAAAAAAAATACGTATAGCATGATGAAAGCAAATCAACAAAAATTTCGCCATTTTGGATTTTTGCTAAACAAAGCAAAATTACACTGCCATTTACATTCAGTGGCTTCCCACATGATAGATGAAGAGATTAAAAATAGATTGAGTTAAACAATTGATATTTTCAAAAGTTGTCGTGTTTACAAGCCTTGGGGACTTGATAAATCCACACCATAAGCCACTAAAATCCCTTTTTTTGATTAAAAATAGCAATTAATCAATTTAAAAAAAATATATTAATAAGTTCAACAATCATTTATCTTTCTGAAAATGTGCTTTTTATATCATTTATATGTATAATATGATTGCTAGATACGATTTCATGCGACAAAACGTTGGAATCTTGATTTTTAGGCGCTAGTAGAACATACCTATGCGCTTTGCGCTCGGCATGCAATAGAAACAGAAGTAGAAAAGATGCTAAGTGCACGCATTGATTTTTAGTAACTGGGCGACTAAGCTTTGCTCGGTGTTAGGAAAATATCTATAATTTTCATCATATTATTTTTCCAACGCCGAGCAAAATTGGTCGCTCAATTCATCACAACATTTTTTATAGAATAAGGGTACACAGTCCATCTGATGGTAAATGGATGTTGTGGCCCATAGGCATCTACATTTATCGTCGATTAAGAATCAACTAAGATGGGATGCAATCGCTTTCACTTTTGTAGTTAAAATAAGGGATTCAGGTTCATATATCGTTGATATAGATTATGAACATATTTGTAAAAAAATGAACATCGTAAAGCATACGTATGAAAGAAAACAGAATAGCAACAGATATACTGTCCCATATATATACTGTCCCATTGCTGGGCACAAGACTCCTATTTTTTAGAGCACGGATAAATCTATAACGTTCACAAATTGTTTTTCGAACATGCACATTTCTCCGTAATGTTCACATTACCGACGATCACTTCGTAAATTATTATTTAAAGTTAACAATACAGCCATAGAATTTTGTTTAAGGCTTATAACCCATAGCGACGACGGCTCGTGCGCATAAAAATAGTAAATAGTACTTAATTAGAAAAACAAATAATTTTTCTAAATATTACGTATAAAAATATTTTAACATGGTACCACGTTTTGTTTTATATTTTTACATTGAACATCCGATTCTATGTGTTTGCGCTATGTTCAAAATTTCAAGTCCTTAGCTCATCGGAAAGTTAGTTTAAAATCTATAAGTACAAATAAATAATATTGAAGTGTCTGTTTGTAATGTCAAAATACCAGCTTTTTACTAAATGCATATGAAAGTATATACGGTACAAAAACACAATTTTTAAAATTTTTGTCTGTCTGTCCGTTCGTCTGTCTGTCTGTCTGTCTGTTTGTTCCAGCTAATCTCCGAAACGGCTGGACCGATTTCGACGGGATTTTCACTGGCAGATAGCTGATGTTATAAGGAGTAACCTAGGCTACTTATATTTTAGAAAAAGAGTTAGGATTCCGCGCAACATAATTAAAACCCTAAATTACACGCGGGCGAAGTCGCGGGGAACAGCTAGTAAATTAATAAATTTGATCCCTTGTTTCCAGTAAAGAAGATTTACGGTTATCTACACTCACTATACGAAACGGCAACCATTTGTGCTACAACCATAATATAGCTGCTCCGTGGCGCTAACACATAATAATTCGATAGTACTTACTGTATAAATATTCTGAACATCCGTCAAAGCCTTCTTCGTCTTCTTCACATTTCTCTGCTGCCGTTTCATGATCCGACAGGGTTGTTGCAAATATGCAAGCGCCTGCACAAAGAAATATCATCAATTATTTCTTTATTGAGGAACTATTATTCAAAATAAAAGACAGAAAATCGGAGATTTCAGAAACTTACAAGTGATAATAAAAAATAAACTTTTTCTATATATCATCGTATTAACAATTTAGAATAGATTTTTCCTATCTCTATCTGTAGAAAGCACTGATTTGCTTGGAATTCATGCTTTCGGTTCGACATTTTATTAAGACAAAATAAACATATCAGTTACTTATACTTAATACAATCCTTTTCATGGGTGATATATAAGCTATTTATTTAGTTATTACACATCATTCTGTAAGTTCACGTTTTCTGAACATTAAACCCGAGCTCTTATCTCCTAGCTACCACGACTCAGGTAGTTATATTATACGTTTCAATTTTGAATACGAACCCTTTTGCTATTTACCTTTTGTGCTCTATTAAAGGTATTGCTACTTTTATAGTTTAGAAACATGAAAATTAATGGTGCCTACATCGAACTTCATTATTTTCACTAAGTCCGAAATTTTACATCTAACACGTATAGCGATTATATTATCTGTCTTTCTTCTTTTATAATTTTCTTTATACTTATTTTTATAAAAATGGCTAAACGAATTTATAAAACTAAGACCAAATGTTATTCAATTTAATGAACACTTGCACTTTTAAGCTTTTATTTACATTTCACAGTAAGCTAAGCACTGTAAAAATGTTTATCTAAAAAATTAATAATATTTCGTGGAAATGTAAACATGAAATAGTTAAATTTCGGAAGCGATAATAATCCTCTCAAGCAATTAAGGAGTCTTATTGAGAGAGTTGTCTATAAATTGGAAGTTTATAATGGCTAACGTAATATTGCTATTATTGGACATATTTTTTATAACTTTGACTTACCATTATCGACGAGGAAACGCACCATTGGAAGGTTGTTGCAAGATGCAGCACAGTGTAGAGGTGTCCAACCGTCTGAGTCCTGTGCGTTCACATCGCAACCAAGCTCCACTAAGAATCTGTAAAGTATAAAATTAAATAATCAATAATTATTCGTGATAAAATGTTTGGTTTTACAATTTGCAACTTGTCCAACGAAGGGTGGTACTACTTTTGTAAAGTCGGCAATATATGTTGGCCAAGCCTCAGCCAAAGCCAACGAGAGCGTAGGTAATTTGATACAAGGCGAGTGTTACAGCCTACATGTTGGTCAAGTTTGAATGAGTGAACTCATTTAAACGTTTTGTCTTACCAAGTGAAACATTATATTACGTTTAGTGATTCAGTTTGATGAAAAACGAAACGTAATATAATACATTATTTTTGATCGTATGGTGAGAATACACCCATATGTTTGCATAGGAACACTACTAGAAATACGCCGCATTATACCGCGAAATGATTATAATTAAGTATATCACACAGGATTCGACATGCTTCGATCAATTTAAAAATGTATTCTCTACTAGCTAATCCGATAGACGTTTTTCTGCCCTTTCTGATTGGTGGCGCGATGCGCTCATTTTCCCACACACACTTTATATATATAAATGTATGTAAAATGTATGGCTAAATCCTCTTCAGGAATCATCAGCAGCCATTATGACAATAAAGTAAAAAAGAAAAAGGGAAAACATAACCCTTTTTTTACTCTTCCGTAAGCGGATAAAAAGTTGCCTATATGTTATACACGGTCATTTACTACGGACATACATAATTTCATGCAAATGCGTCCTGTAGTTTTTGCGTGAATCGTGAACCCAACATTTTTCTACAGATTTATTATATATAGATTCTTCTACACAATTAATAAATAAATGCGAAAATATATAAACTTTTATAGGCTGTAATGGATGGACTGATAACCACTAGAAATTAGAAAATTGTTTCGGTCAACCGCAATGTGTGAACCCGCCGTTACTTTGAATTAATACACTGTCTAAAAAATTAAAATCAATCTCCTTGAAATCACCAAATCCTATATTAGCTTTCTTATATTAATTATTAATAGCTTAATACCTCTGAATAAAACTCACTTGACTATTTCGAAATGGCCCGCACAGATGGCATTGTGAAGTGCAGTTATACCTTCGTCGTTTGCAGCGCTTGCATTTTGCACCTGAAATTTTTAACAAAATATTTGCTAATGATTTCTTTATTTTGGTTTCTTTGGTTGTAATTAAAACAATAAATTAAAGGTTGATAATTTTTGAATTTGTTATTTTTTGATAATTTGGTAAAATTTTTTTACCTGAGTCGCCGTTTTCTTCACCAGTTCCAATTCGCCTTCTAAACTGGCGTCTAACAAGAGTGCAAGAGGGTCGAAACTCACTCGCCTTGTGAGTGGAGCCTTGCCTCCTTGCTTGAGATTTCCTTTCTTTGATCGCCTCAGCACATTCTCAGTTCTCTGAGAATCCTGACCGTTCAAATCAACCGAGCTTATTTGTTCCGCTATATCCAATACGCCGTTATCTTTACTATCCTCTTGTCTTTCACTCGAACTTAAAGATATGTTATTGTTTAGAGATCTATCGACTTCGTCTTTCTGTTTCGTTTTGTCTTTTAGGCCATTTTGCATTTCAGAGGTATCCAGGGTTAAATGATCCATTTCGGGGAACAAAAACGCTGGTGGCATTTCTATGCGTCGATTTATACTGACACTGATGCCGTTCTTAGAATTATTGAGGTTTCTTAGTTTAGGCTGTTCGCTTAAAGGAGGTTTTCTAATAGTCAATGGACGTGCTTTGATGATCATTTCGTTACCGCTGCTACCATTGGTGGTTTCTTTTTGGTTCTGCTGCGTTTCGCCATCGTTCAATGATTCTTGTCCGAGTATTGTCGGCATATTGATGGTGTTTTCTGTAGTTTGATCATGATTAGCAGATTGTCTCGGTGGAGTCTGTAAATAGAACAATGACAGTGGAATTTTATTTACTACCTCTGTGGATAGATCTTTTAGTTTTTAAACACTACACACACAACACAATATATCACAACTTGTGTTGGCCATCCTTTTTATAATCACGATACATGTAATGTGCTAGTAACTACATTATTAAATGACTTTTTTTTTGTTATGAACCATAAGGAAAAACACAAAAACCTTAAACTAATTGATACTAATAAAACATTAGATAGACACGTTATTACTGTATGACGTATATTTATTTACTAATACAAAACATGATATAATATGAAACCCTCATATTATGTGTTCTTTTAAAGACACAGCGAATTAAAACAAAAACGAAGCAGAAAAAGTTTATTTCTTTAAAATATGTTGCTGCCGTGTACTAGCGGTGTTAGTAAATCCCCATATTACCATTCCATGGTTGCCACAAGAGGCGACGGAAGGGAAACGTAACACGAGATGGGAAGCAGCATCTTCCTGATAACAACACAAAATAAGAAATAACTGCGGTTGCTAACATGCCTACCAAGCGTGGCATCAGTGGCATCCTTCTTATGAGGCAATATATGGGGGAGCCTTTATTCATACGTGTACTTTAATAAGGTGTAATGATGATGATGATGACGATAATAATATATAACTTCTTTATAATATGTTCCATAACTTACGCATTATGTAATTTATTTTTTTCGTGGTAGAGCTATGTTGTAGCTATACGCAGGTTGAAGAACGAATGTGTTGGCTCGACCGAAGTAAAACATGCTCTCACAGAATACTAGTGAAAATTAGGAGCTTAATGCTGCTGTGTTCCGTATGATTAGTGTAGAGGTTCGGAGACCCTTCTAACTGGAAACGAAGCATTCCATCTTGGATCTCAGGAATGGCAACGCATCTGCATTTTCATTCTTAATCGAGTAGAAATGTGGATTTCTATGGAAAACAACATCCACTAACCTTCAGGTTGACTGTGTACTCGCTAGTCACCCTTATTCTATAAAAAGGGATGACATACACAGAATACAGTGAATTTTGATCACATTCAAATTTAAATATGAACTTAACTTACCTTGATAGTAGGTTTTGGAGGTAGTGCTGGTTTAGGTGATTTGTCTGTGCCGCTGACATCGGGCGTAGATAATGGCGTACTAGCACTTTGCGGTGGAGACAACAGGATGCTTTGTGATGACGCATTCTGCCCGCTGAAGTTGGAACTCCCCGTACTAGTTGACAGTCCTGACGCCGTGTTTCTAACAATCTGGGGTTGGGAATTCACCATGTTACTAGCTACATGATTTGATGAAGAAACAGAAATACTTTGGCTCTGAACTGTTTGTGGTTGAACCGGTTGGATTTTTGTTGAAGATGTCTGATAAATGGGTGATGGTTTTCCACTTGAGACCTGAACCGATGTGGGTGCAACACTCGATACGGGTTTCTGTAATGAATGAATGATGACGATATTTACAAATGATGTGATTATGATACGTGATGAAGAAGCTAGCATTAATAAGGCATATATGGAAGGAATAGTGAAATTGAAATTATACCGAAACTTACCCCGAACCCTATAGAACTGCTGGCAGTTGTGCTGGATAACGAACTTGGAGAACTACCCTTTATCAGGTTACCCTGTTGACTCTTTCCAACGTTGGCTTTGGAGCCTTCATTGTTTTGACTATTATTCTGACTTAACTTAGAGTTTTGAGGATATGCGTGATTTTCTTTCCCTTCCTGGTTACACCTACTAGAAGAGTCTGATTTTTGCAATTGATATGTATGTTCTTGTTGATATGTCGCTTCAGTTTGACTTAAAGGCGTGGCTAGACTTTTGTTAACAACCGACAATGGTGTCGAATGTACCGTCATATGATTAATATTGGCTGCATTCTGTTGATTTTGATTTTTGGCGTCTTGTACATCGATTGCTTTGCCGTTTATTTCAGGTTGTTTTATTTTACCGTTTCCGCTTTGTGGAAATTTGGTGTTATACGGCAAAGTTTGGTATTTTGGATCAGATTTACTCGCAGCAAATTCTGGTGGGAATTCTTGTTCATTTATTTTTATTTCTTTACCCGTTTGGTTACTATTTGAACTGCTGGTACTGTTAGGGCTGTATTGTGGTTGTTTAGGGTATTCAGGATATTTGTTAAGGTGGTCGAATATGGTTTTTTGATCGTATGCACTGGTGATACTTTGTTGAACGAAATTGTTCACTTCATGTTTATTTTGAAGTTGACCTTGTTGCTGATATTGATTGTCCTGTCCGACCGCTACGTGAGGATAGTTGCCGTTAAAAAGTGGATTCATCATTTGTTTTTGGTGTAAGTAGTGAGCCTCTTGCTGCGTGAGATGACTTTGTATGTTGTCGCTCTGTGTGAGCTGTTTTAATGGCAAGTTATTTTGTATTACGTTCTGCTTCAAAGCCTGTAAAAAAAATTGCTGTTAATACTGGATCATTATTATCATTAATGGAGATTTTAATAGGTACATGTATTATTTCATAAATGTAAACAGACTGCAATTATCATAACACATAGTTGAATTTATAAAAAACAATCAACAGTGTCTTAAGATAATTACGTTGATAAAAGTTTAACTTAAGTTTAAAAAATACTAGTTGCTTTTTTAATGTATACAACATTAAAAAAAGCAACTTACCTGACGTTTCTAACTTCCGATGTCTTCGCTTAAGGGGTATTCATTTATTTGTACACACATATATATATATATATATATATATATATATATATATATATATATATATATACCGCTATCATCTTTTACGCGGTAGAGCCATGCTGCAGCTATATTAGTAGTATAGTTGTAGCACGAATGGGTCGGCTTGACCGGGGTAGGACCACGCTCTCACAGGATACCAACGTAAAATAGCAGCTTAACACTGCTATGTTTTGTACGGTGAGTATAGAGAACCGGAGACCCTTTTTACTGGAAACGAGACATTCCATCTTAGTCCTCACGAGTGACAACGCATCTGCCTTTTGATTCGCAAACGAGGATAGATGTAGATGTCTATAGGCCACAGCAACCACTTACTATCAGGTGGACTGTGTGCTCGTTTGTCACTCGATCCTATAAAAAAAAGCAAACAAAATATAATCGCTTCATTAAACATCCCCATTTTTGATGTCGGTTCATAAAGGTTATTATACATAAAAGACAAAGATTAACTGAATCATAAAGGAATTGTTTTTAATATATTATTATTACCTGGAAATTTGTGTTATGGCTTAGGCTCTGCGCATGCGGCACATGATTATAAGGTTCGACGGCAGCAACATTACCCCGCGCCTGTTGATTCTTTGGTTGACTATTTATCGCGGCACCAGCTGGATAATTGGGTAATTGCTGCATTGGTGTTGGGTTATTGGTTCTGTAAGTTAAGTATATTTTCTTTATAATAACCAATTTAACATTCATTGAACATCCTCTTTATTGAGGCTACTAGAAACATATGATATATAGATATCATGTATAGATATCATATGTATAGACATGTGTACGTTTAAACACATGTATAAGTAGATATCATATGTTTCTAGTAGCCTAATTTAATAATTAATGACATTTTAATACAAGTACGTAGTCGTTTTTAAGTAAGTAGTTATAAGTAAAATTATATACTCTTTGGTTATAGGTGATATAATAACTAACATCCTTCTGATCAGGATTGATTGGAATTAATTTTCAAGTTGTATTCAAATACCTTGTAGTAATATTAAATTAGTCTATAATTACGCATCTCGAGCACTAGTTTAGTGCACTGAGCACAAGTTGGCGAGTTTATTAATTTAAATTCTGTTCAGGAACGTGGCGTTGCATATGCTTAACAAACTTTAATGGGGTTTTGCCGTTCATTCATGCTCAGTGTTCTGGAGTAGTTCGAATGAAACGCGGCATCGGTACGCGAATTTCAGAGTGCACTTGTAACCGCTTACTCCTACCAGCGTTAGTGTTGACGTTATTTTATCCACGTAATGGATTTTCAGCGTACAACTAAATATATTGAATTTCGAAATAGAATTTAGGTGCGAAAGGGAATGGAAATGAAAATGGAAATATCGTTGCAAATTGAAATAATGGGTTTCAAATTGGACTCAAATAAACCTGATATTTAATCGACAACTGACCCTTGTTTTATATACAAGAGAAGTCTGGACTTATATTAAAACATTGTACCTTAAGAATATGATCTTACCTCTGCTGCTGTTGAGGTTGCCGGTGTGCCGCAGCTAACTGTCTATTGAGCGCCCGTTTCCTCAGAAGACGTGCCTGCAGCTCGGAGACGCGTCGGTCGATGCTACGCATCTCCTCCTGCCGTGCGCCCAGCGCCGCCCGCTGGGCTGACAGCCTGCCGTTCTGTTGCTCGTTCAGCTTATTACGATACTGGAAAAAATATTAAACTTACAAACTTTTATGCCCTAAATTTGTATCCACGGCGGGACAAATACTGTTACTATTATAGGAAGAATTTGTCGATATCTCTACGCTTGGCAGTCGTATTTAGAGGTATTCATCTATATGTACGTATATATATATATATATATATATATATATATATATATATATATATATATATATATATTCATCTATATGTACGTATATATATATATATATATATATATATATATATATATATATATCCGTAGATATAGATGAATATATAGGTACCGCTATCTATACAGTCATATATTTACCGAACGTCTCAATATCAACTTTGTCGTTATTTTTACATATGCATAATATATTTTTTTTTACAGAATAAGGATGACAAACGAGTACACAGTCCACCTGATGGTAAGCGGATGCTGTGACCCATACACATCTGCATCTATCCTCGATTAAGAATCAAAATGCAGATTGTCGTATTGTCTCCCCTGAGGTTTAAGATGAAATGCCTCGTTTCCAATAAAAAGGGGTCTCCGGTTCTCTGCATTCACCATACGAAACACAGTACCATTCAGCTGCTATTGCACGCTGGTATTTTGTGATAGCGTCGTCCTTTCTCGGTCGAGCCGACCTATTCGTGCTCCAATCATAATATAGGTATAGCTGCAGCATGGCTCTACCACCATATCAAATAATAGTTTTCCTATTTAGACTTTTAATCTTGTATGTATGTTTACGTTACATCTATGAATAAACAAATATACAGTTATAGTTTAAATCTTATGTGTCTTCATAACTTAGTGTCTACTTAAGATAAAAGTGTTTTTATTTGTCTATTGTGTCTGTTGATTAACTGAACGGTCTGATAGGCCTATATACGAAGACAATATCGAGTAACTTATATCGGTTATAGACTCTTGAATTCGGCTCATATAATGCGGTTGCATCTATAAAATCGAGGCGAAATAACGTGTGAAATTCACAGCAAATGAGCCGGTTGTGGCTCGTATATAAATACACTGGCATCGCACTGAGTAATCAACGCAATGGACAGTACAATACATAGTTCGGAGATATCGAACATCCATTAATAGAACCCGATTTATCTGACCACGAAAACATTATAGTGCTAAATCAAGTTCATGCGAATGACTTTTTCCATTTCAATGAATTTTCTGCTTGATTTTTAGGGTTGCGCAATTAAAACCGAGAAACCCGAACAATATCCGTCTATCCCAATGTGTCACACCTGGTCACAGCAACGTGACTTAAGAGTTTTTGACCGAATTAGATTAGATTAATATCCAAAAGCCATTTAAAGTCATTTATTATGATTTAAGCCATAACAGAGGCTTAAATCATAATAAATGACTTTGACATGAAAATATTACGTAATGCCTATATAATAATAATATACCTATTACTTTTGTGTATTTCCTTTTTTGTGAGCCTCCATATAAATAAACCACTAGCATAGCATTTAAAATTTAGAAACTGCCAGGTTGATAACCCACCAAATATACAATGCAGTCTATGAGACAGGATAATGTTCAGCTGTAAGCGATTTGCACAGTTGGTTATTGAATGAGTTAAAAAAAACCTTAGAGTTCCAAACACACAATCAGAGGCATAGGGAAAATCATAAAATACGAGTAACTAGACCTGGAAACCAAAAAATTGCGTTTTCGCTAATGTTATCTATGGCTAAGCCGTGCTAGCTCAACGCTTACCGTGAATTTCACAGTAGAGCAACCCGGTTTTGATCCCAGCCGACACTAATAAAAATTCAATAAAACTGTGCATTTTCCAGTGATGTATTGAGACAAGCTTGGGTTAACATTTACTGTTAGTTTTTTTGAAATCGATTGAAAATTTAAAAAGATATGTCAACTCAAAAATTACGCCGCTAATTTTAATCGTGTACAATCGAACATTTGCGAGCATAACAGTTAGAGCATGTTGAAGCAACGTATCAAATTTCATACAACAATGGCCTAAGATGCGAGCCTGGCTCGTCGGCTCACAAAATCGCTGATTTGCGATGATCCACCAACGACTGTACTGGCGAGCCACCAAGACCGCAGTAAAGCTCACCCGTCCGTGCATAAGTCGAAAGACAAACGCTGCTCTGTGTGCGCTGATTAATCTATTGGATATACATGAAAATGTACAAGTGTGGAAAATCCTTTTGAAACCCTTTTCAAAATAAATAAAAAAGATATTTTATAAATTAATAATATATGAAATCATATCATAAAATCTGCCTACGTGTAAAAAGATTACTCGAATGAAATGAACAGAAATTAAAGTGTTTATTTATAAGAATTATACACAGTTTGTTCAAATCAAATTAAAGAAATATTAAACGGGTAAATATATATAGGTAGTATTAATAATTCAAACGGTTTTTTTTATTATATAAGCTTTTCCAGTTCCGCGGTTTTCTTCGCGTTTTATACGTACCTTCGATTTTACTCAGCCTAAAAAGATCCGGATTGCCCTAATCCAATTTTCTTTTGGAAGTATTCCGTTAAATTGGAACCGTAAATTAAGAGGAGTAGCAAATTAGACTGTTAAGCTCCGTAGCATCGTTATTAATCCAGCTAAGTATGCATATTATTAAGGCTACTTACTGGATTACATAGATATACACATATGTAAAAGCGATGTAGTATATTACTTTCCTAATACGCTTCTGCATTATTTGTATATCTAGAGACCGTTACATTAAGAACTGTACATATATTTTCATAATGGGTTAAATAAACCGGCTGGCTTTCTTTAGGGTACTATTGGTGGACGTAGTAAAAGCCTATGGCGTAGATATTTTTAAAATTTATTTATATGTATTTTACTGACCTATTAATAAATAAAAATTTTTCATCAGTCAGGTCAGGGCGTCACAAATACGTTGACACTTGCCAGCTTGTCACGCGTAAAGTACGTACCTATGATTTGAATTTTTAATCACTTTATTTTATATTTTCAAAATTAAAAGGGTACTTAAAATAAATTGAAAAATAACTATATCATAGGTTTCTACTTCATTCACCTATTTTTTTCCGACGCTAAAAAAATAGTAGTACTTGGGCGACGCGACGCTTTGCTCGGCGTTAGAAAAAAAAATTCTCATAAATGAGATGACACAAATTTAGATAAACTTTGAAAGTAAAGTATTATCATAATACAAAATTTAATTCATATCGTTAGTGCCGTTTCCAAGAACCAATTACATATATACCTACATAATATACAAGAATTTCTCACTTAAAGTAAAATATAACAAATATATTAAGAACAACCTTCCCTACTTACGAAATTGAATTTTTAATAATTAATTACCTTTTAAAGTCTAACTCTAAACATATTGAATTTGATGATTTTCCTTTAAAAAATGTATTTCATTAGTTTCCCGAAACTGGTTTTTTGATATGGCTAAAATTATTTTGTGTTAGGTAATTGTCAAATATGGATTTTGAATGGACACCAATGCACAAATGGTATAATGCATAGTGAGTTTTTGATTTAATCACCACCTCCTAATGAATTTTATTTTTTGGGACTTGAATACCTTTCGACACAGGAAATTTTCAACTCTAAATTGGCGGTGAAAATACATTAAAAAAATTTAGCGATTCTCTTCATCGTTCTCGTTACTGTGGCAGCATCAACGAACTTTTATGAAAATGCCAATGTTAAGTGCATTAAAAATTACGACAATTAAGTACTCCCTGAATATAGGCCTTCCCCAAGGAATACCACAAAGCACGGTCCTGGTGCCTTCTGCATCTATCGACTTCCTGCATGTGTTGTCAGGTCGTCAGTCTATCTAGTGGGGGGCCGCCCTACATTTCGCCTACCGATACTATGGCTGCCGCTCGAGAACCTTTCTTCCCCATTACTTCGGGGAGACCTATGTTCAGCAGTGGACTAGTGAAAGGCTGTAATAATAATGATGATGATGATGATGAAGATATCCCTCTTAAAAGTTAAGTAATTTTATGTACAAAAATTAAGTATTTATATATATTAAGTATTCATCTACAATTTCATTTCATTTTGCAGCATTCCTTGGAGGTGGCATATGTTTAGCAGTCGACTTGTGAAGGGATGGTAGAAGGTAATGATGATTGTGATAATGAAGATAATGATGATGAAACGTAAATTTAGTAGGTATGAAAAAGAACGTAACTTATTAAGTGGCGGTGTAAGAATATCCATTACCCCATATCGTCCGTCGATTCGTCCCATGGGTGTCATAAGAAGCGAAAAAGGGGCAACTAAAATAGGACATGAGCAGCAGCATCTTCTTGATAACAAATCAAAATTTAAAAAAAAACTGCTGTTGGCAACTATGGCAAAATCCCCACAATGAGACAATCTATGTACAACGCCCATGTTCGGCACTGGACTTCTATAGACTGTAATGGAAATAGAATATGACCTACCTTATACCTTTAGTAGGTATGGAAAAGAGGGTCATATCCAGTAATAAACACTTCACCAGCTGTTTTAGGTTTAGATGAACTATTTAAATTCTTAAAGGACTTTATTTACAAATGATAAGACAAAACAAAGGATTTACAACTAAATTCATTCGTAATTCCTATCTAATACTTAACAACACTGACACTCCTATCAGTAAGATACCTTTATGTGCATGTTGGATGTGTTAACAAATTTCATAACAATTAAAAATTACAAATTTAGTAAAAGTACAAATTCATTATTACTTAAACACTTGGGGCTTACATCTGGTGACATCTGCAACTTAACAATATAAAGCTTTAATAATATCTACAGTTATTTAAAAATAGACACAATTTAAAGCACATGGGTCTGTTTAGTGTTTGTTTATGTTGTTAAAGACTTATAACACTTATATGTGACCTAAAGTCACATATCACTGATTGGATGTAGCAGCAAGCTAGTCGAGTGCCGCTGCTATAACTAAATTGTCAAATTGAAGTCTGAATCAAAACGCTGCGCTGGCACGG